CTCGTTGTTCAATAGCGCACTGTTTAATTTCCAGGTGTTTGATTTAGTTTTCTGTTTTTGTGTGTGATTTACTTCTAATTTCAGCGCATTATGGTCTGAGAAGATTGTTGATACAATCTCTACCTTCTTAATTTTATGGAGGCATGTTTTGTGGCTCAGCATGTGGTCTATCTTGGAGAATGTTCCATGTACTCTCGAGAAAAATGTGTATTCAGCTTTTTGAGGATGAAGTGTCCTGTATATATTTACTAAGTCCCTTTCTTCCATTGTTTCCCTTAGATGAAGTATGTCCTTTGCTAAGCTTGAGTCTGGTTGATCTATCAAGAGGTGACAAAGCGGTGTTGAAGTCTCCCACTAGTATTGTGTTGCTATTGATGTCTTTTTCGAAATCTATGAGTAGTTGTTTTAAATACTTTGCTGGTCTCTCATTAGGTGCATATACATTTATTATTGTAAGTTCTTCCTGTTGTACAGATCCTTTGATCAATAAGAAATGGCCTTCACTGTCTCTTATGACCTTCTTCACTCTGAAATCGATGTGGTCTGATATTAGGATGGCTACCCCAGCTTTTTTATGGGAACTGTTTGCCTGTAGGATTGTTTTCCAGCCTTTGACTCTGAGTCTGTGTTTGCTTTGACTATTAAGGGGTGTTTCTTGCAGGCAGCAGAATGTTGGGTTCAATTTTCTAATCCATCCTGCCACTCTATGTCTTTTAATTGGTGCGTTTAGCCCATTGACATTGAGAGAGATTATTGTTATGGGATTTTGCCCCATTGTTCTGTTGAAATTTGGTGTATTTGAGGGGCCTTTCTTACCTTAAAGTAGTCCATTTAGTTGTTCTTGTAACCATGTTTTTGAGTCTATGAAGTTCCTGAGCTGTTGTTTGTCTGTGAAATTGTGTGTTGTTCCTTCTATTATGAATGAGAGTCTCGCTGGGCAAAGTATTTTTGGAGAGGCATTTATTTCATTGAGTTTTTTCACTATGTCCCACCACTGTTTTCGGGCCAGGAGGGTTTCATCAGAAAAATCAGCTGTGAATTTTAAGGATGCTCCTTTGTAAGAGATTTTTTCTTCGATCTTGCTGCTTTCAGAATTTTGTCTCTGTCTAAGGTTTTGGTCATTTTGATCAGAATGTGTCTTGGCGTATTTTTATTCGGATTTCTTCTAGCTGGTACCCTTCGGGCCTCCTGAATGTGGTCACAAGTTTTCTTCAGCTCTGGAAACGTTGTAGCAATGATGTCTTTGACAGTTTCTTTTTCATCAAGGTTTTCTTCCTGTCCCTCTGGGACTCCAATAATTCTTACGTTAGCCCTCTTGGCTTCGTCACGATCTTCTCTTGCCATCTGTTCCCGAATAGTGAGTCTCTTTTCCATTTTCTGCTCTTTCCTGGAGAGTCTCTGAACTTCATCTTCGAGCTCACTGATTCTGTTCTCAGCAGCTGTTACTCTGCTTCTAAGGCCTTCCACTGAGTTTTTCAATTCGACTACCAGGTTTTTCAGGTCTGACATTTCTGATTGCATTTTCCTCATTTCTGCCTTCAAATCCTCTTGTCTTTTATTGGCATTGCTTTCCATTGTTTCTTTTAGTTCCCTAAGCATCCTAAGTAGCTCCCTTCTGAATTCCTTGTCAGAGAGGTTGTCTAACACTACAATACTGTTGATGTCTTCTGGGATAGCCTCTTCAATAAGAAAGTTTGGTGGGCTTTTGCGTTGCTTTACCATTGTGACAAGTGTGGTTTAGTCCTTCACGTTCACTGTTACTATTCTGCTTGTTATGCCGTGTGAGTTTGAGATAGGCTTATGAGTTATTGCTACTGAGTTTCTAGTGGCTGAGCTAAAATAGAGAATATTCCATCTAAGAAGGTAGCTTATGGTTCCTAGGGCATATGTAGTGGGAGAACGTGGCCGTGGCTCTGGAAAGGGTCCCTGCGCTGGTCCCGCGCAGATCAGGGGAAAAAACCAGCTGTCCTATGAGATTGAGCTAGCTGCGCATGCCCAGAGAAAGTCCCAGGCCTTGGGGGCAGGCTATACCTGAATGGAAGGGGAGAGAGTTGGCGGAGACCTTCAGCTTTGTTGCTGGGAGGTGGGCTCGGTTCCCGTCCCGCGCAGATCAGGGGAAAAAACTGGCTGTCCTATGAGATCGAGCTAACAGCTCATGCCCAGAGAAATTCCCAGGCCTTGGGGGCGGGCTGTACCTGAATGGAAGGGTCGATTTAATGTTATTTTTAAGTGGAAAGAGTTGAAAAGAGTATTAAAAACAGACAAATGTTCAAGATATGTTTACCAAGAAGGAATAAATAACTTTTTCATAGAGGGCTGCCAAAAAAGGAGACTTCATTGATATTGGAAAAAGGCAATTATCAGGTTTTCAGATTGCCTCGAGCAGGCACCAGTAACATCTCCTTTGTCCTAGCCCTGAGATTTCAAAAAGTGCCATATTCAAGGCTCTTTCAGGGTTAGAAGAATGAGACCCATATCATTGTTACTGGTATTTGGCATATTGGATATGCCACGGGGAGTTTGCCAGATTCTGCAGGGTGGGCAGGTTACAATCTGTAGCCTGCCAATTCTCTGCATCTTGGCTGTTGATGGGATTACCTGGCGCTAGGAGTCAGTTCGAGGGTGTGACCCCTGCCTACTGGAAGAAGGAGGATCAGGGTGGAGGATGCTCAGCCCTGATCTGACAGTCTTGGATTACAAAAATAAAGTGATGGTAGAACTGTGACACTTGATAATCCTATCTTGAAAGACCTTCATGATTTGAGTCAGGGCAAGTGTTGTGGAGTCTCTGGATAGACAGTCAAATATCCATATTCAAAGGAAGTTATTTCTACTCACATATAGGGCTGAGGTTAGTCTTGTTTACCGTTAAACATTATTGGGATTTGGAAACTCATGGGAGTGACATTGCTCAGTATAGAAGCAACAGTACTGATCTGATAAGTTGTTTCTTTGGCAGAGGGAAATGGCAGTGTCTGAGCCACACCTCATGGTGCTCAGGATTGACTCCTACTGGCATTTGGGAGACAATACATGGGTTCCAGGCATTTGGACTGGGTTGTGACCAATACAGTTGAATTCAAATAAAGTGTCTTACTTCCTATACTATCTCTCTGGCCCTCTGATAAGTTTTATTATTATTAAAACATATTAGAGGAATGGGTTGGATTTTTAAAGCTTTGAATTTTATTCCCAGGTGATCAACTAACATATATATCACTTTAGAAAAGAATGTGTCATTGAATTGATGAATTTCTTCCTGTTTCCTTTGTTCAATGACTTCATTTAGAAATTAAATAATTGATTTATACATAGATTTCAAGAGATTTGTCTTGTGTGTCAATCAAGAGATACCTTAAATGGATGAGTTTTCCTATTAAACAAAAATGCCTTGAATTTCTTAAACCATCCAGCACTTACCTCTGTTAAGTAGGGTGTTTCATTCTTAGATGCATACATACTAGGAAGATTGGGTGGGATGGAAATTCTGAATTTAGATGGTTATTTCTGTAACTTAAAGTGAAGATATAGTAATTTAATTTTTGGATTGTTTGTGTGTATTTAAATTTGTGGAGCGTAGTCCAATATTAAATAAAGTTACATTAACAAAAATTGTTTTTATTTTTAAAATAACCTTTAATACACCTACTGACTTCTAATAGCAGCTTCAGGTTAGGTGAGTTGAAATTGATAGAATTGTCTCTTCTGTTTTCCCTCATATAGCTCATCTACTATTGCTATTCTGTGTGCTTTTAAAAAAATAAATAAAAACAAATTTTTATTCTTTTAATTTTCGGTTGAAATAACTCTTACTCTGCATCAGAGTTTTAATTGATGTTCTCCACTTGATCAAGGATTCAATTTTTAAGGAAAGGTTCTTGGCTGTTTGTGTTAGTTCAGTGACTTTAGAATAAGATGTTGGTAGGGAGGCCCAGCAGAATCTTCAGTCGTTGATTCTCTCTTTATAACTTTGCCCTTTTAGCTGGAACAGATTGCCTGTGCAGGGCTTCTTGCCTTCACAGACTGAATCACAAGGAAGAAACTTTACATAAACCATTTATACTAAATGTTTGGTATGCTGGCAACATAAATCAACAACAATATCCATTACAAATTCATCCCTTTATCAGTATTATCTTGATAGAACTGATCCCAATGTGTGGGAATTTGAGCCCTGCTTCAATACATCTAGCCCAGGGTAATTAATTATTCAGGGCACAGAGAACCTGGCCCTTGCAATGTAGAGTGATTCTTCCTGGTCAGCGTTAACTCCACTGGCAATAATAAATAGAAAAAGTCTCTAGTGATGCCAGTATTTTAAAGTGATTAATCATCTTCCCCCCCTTCTCCTCCCCCGTAGTTTTCTTTAACTAGGATTTTTCAGCAATAAATCTTTAACAATACAGGTAGGAATTGTTCTGTAATTAAATTTTGCTCTCCTTAATTTCTTTCCTTTTATGTGCATTTAAAGACAAAGTTACATTTTAAGGAGCTTTGATCAAAATTCAAGCCAAAAAAAAAATCCTTTTATAGAATGCTGAGAGATTCTCAATGGAAGATTAAGCTCCTGGGTTTGAATATTAGAGAGCACATACGCCTAAAAATTGTTAAACAACACCAGTTGTAGTGTCAGAGATTCTGAAGTTTTAAATCGCTTCAGTTTCATGCATACCGGTTGTCTGTACTAGGAGAAGTCTGACATGTACATATGTTCTTGAGCTGAGAGAATAATTGCTTGTTTCTTAACTTTCGGGTAATTGGCAGGAGTTCTGTAGCAGAGGTATATTTTCCACTCTTCATGAGGTACACAGATCAGGTAAATTCCTGGCAGAGAAAGATCATGCATTATATAAATCATGCTCTGTAGAGCTGACCAGCCATCATGTATATTCTGGATGACAGGGACATATGTGACATATCTGTTGTGACACACTTCTGTAGCACCAGTCTGTGGCTCGAGGTGACTCCTGTCTCCCCTCTGATGCTTTTCCCCGCTGCAGGACAACACAACGATGCACGGATGAACCTTGCCATTGCTCTCACTGCTGCCAGGTATGGGGCTGCCACAGCCAATTATTTAGAAGTCGTGAGTTTGCTCAAGAAGAAAGACCCCCGCACCGGGGTGGAGCGTGTGAGCGGCGCACGGTGCAAGGATGTGCTCACAGGTACGCCGTGCCGTGTGGAGGGAGTTCTTTCTTAGAAGCATCTTGTCTTGCTCCGATAATGACTGAATTATAATTTTTTTGTCACTTCTCTTTTATGTAAGTCAAACTTCAGAGTCCTATTAATTATATTCCTTATTGTCAACAATGATTGGCTTAACATGAAAATTTCCCCTTGTGGGACTTGGCAATTTTCCTCTTTTGTGTTCAATAATAATAATACCGATACTAATAAATGCCCACAAAATTCTCACAGCTATGATTGCATTCCGTTTTCTTTATAAAAACATGTTATTAATAAAATTAAATAACTGTGCAAGTTTCAAAGTATCATTTAGATGACATAGGCAAGTGCATTTGCAGGTCATTAAAGTCAATCATTTTAACTTCGGTTAGATTTTTTTCATGCTTGTGCAGGTTCTCTGGTCACCACCGTATAGGCAGAGTTTCAAAATTGCCTCCTTCGTGTGAATAAAACCAACACTGTGGAATGGATCTTCTCATAGCAACAGGGTTGAGACATTTGTTTTGTTTTGTTTTTTTTGCCACACTGGCAGTGCTCAGGAGTTTGCAATGCGCAGGGGTTATTCCTGGCTCTGCACTCAGGAATCACTCCTGGCTGGCTTGGGGCGCTATAAGGGATGCCCAGGATTCAACCCAGGTCACAGGCTACCCTCTGTAGTATCACTCTGGCCACAGTGTTGATACATTTGAGCACTAAGGAAAATGAGGCAGATTACTTGTCCCACTTCCTTCCCAGTGGTCACTTTGATGCCATGTTCTCCTCAGACTTGACAGCTGAAATGAAAAATGTGGCACACTTTGCTTTGATTTGGACTGACGTTTGCCAAATTTACTCAGGTACAAGACAACAGGTATATGCTTTTCAGTAACAGACACCTCATCTCATGTAGTATGCAGTATACTTTGCTTTTGATTAAGTTAATAGATTCATTAATAGTACAAAGCATCAGGGAACAGAGAAATAAATGGAGTAATTGATGCTACTTTCTTTCACAGGGAAGGAATTTGATGTGAGAGCCAAATGTGTTATCAATGCTACGGGACCTTTCACAGATGCCGTCCGCAAAATGGATGATAAGAATGCAGCAGCTATCTGCCAGCCTAGTGCGGGGGTCCATATTGTCATGCCTGGCTACTACAGGTAACGTTTTGCACTGTGGTGGTCATTGGCAGACAGTGCAGGCCAGAAAAATGAGTTTCTATTTGTTTCTTAGCCCATCTTTCTTAATACTAGAAGGCTGAGTTTGCTTTCCAAAACAAGGAAGCATAAGCCAAAGGAACGTTTCCAAAACACATAATAGAATCTAAGATTTGAACACTTTTTAGCTTTTACTACAGTACTTTTTTATAAATGTTAATGATTTGCAATTAATTTTTAAATTTTGTTTAGTGATTTTTGGAGACATAAAAATTATGAAATTTTCAAAAACAAGTTTTTAACAAAGGACATATTTTTATTTAAAACATTTAGAAGTCATTTTGTTAAATACCCAAATGCACTTATGAAGAATTTCAAAATGAAGGATGCTTGGGTATTAGAACTTTTAAAATGTATTTTGAAAAATATTTTAAAACTCATAACAAATCTAAACTATCAGTTTACAAATATTAGTAGGTAGGAATAGAGATGAAAATAAATATTCAAAGCATTTAAGAACAAAAATAAATGAAAAGATTAAAAACAAAGCATAACTAAAAAAACAATTTCCACTGAAGATTCTTTAAGCAAGTGACAGATTTGTACATAATGGTGCTTCTAAACTTTCCTATTTTAGTGTAAATTTGGAAAAAAATTAATTTTTTTTTTGCGTCATATCAAGTGGTTCATAGGGCTTATTCCTTGCTCTGTGCTCAGAGATAACTTTTGATACTGAGGGGGCCATTATACAGTGCTGGGATTCAAACTGGCTTCAGCAGCACTCAAGGAAAGTGCCTTACCTCTGTACCATCTCTCCAGCTTCTATATTTAAAATGTTTAATAATTAAAAAGAACCACTTAAGGACTGGAGTGGTAGTACAGTGGGTGGAGTACTTACCTTGCTCACGGATGGGTTTGATCCCGGACATGCATATGGTTTCTAATGACTTCCAGGAGTAATCCCTGAGTTCAGAGCCAGGAGTAACCCCTGAGCACCGCTGAGCATGACCCTAAAAACCAAAGAAACAAACATAAAAGAGAGAAGTAAATTTATCTCAATATTTGCTTACTGGTTAAGGTAAAGGCCCTCCCGTTGATCGTCGATTTGCTTACTAAAAAAGAAGTTATCAAAAAAAGTTCAGTCATAAATAATCCATTTATTTTGTGTTGGATTTAAAGTAAAGAGAGATGGTACAGGGATCAAGGTGTCTTACATATGACCAACTCTGTTTCTATTCCCAGTAGTACATGGTCTCCTGTAAACCACTGAATGTGGTTCTGGAGGCCCCTGGCCACTGCCTGCATGGCTTGGTCAGCCCTTGCAATATCACATAATCACTTGGAGGGTCCCCAGTGTCTTCTGAGTACCACTTAGGAGCCCCCAACCCTGCCAAAAGATAAATAAGCAACAATAAGCCAGATTATCTAGATTTTTATGTTTGAGAATATTTTTTTCTTGAGTTGTGGGTGTTATTCCTTTTGTTTCAACATCTTTTAAAATAGACTACAGATGTAATACCTACGTAGTAAGCAAACTCATCTTCATCATTACATTTGTCTAGAACTTACACATTCAGCATTTTCTTTTATGTATTTTGTTTGTCTTTCCTTCACTATTATCTCATGTCAAAGAACACTTAGTATCCCTGTCACGGTCATGGTCCTCCCATTGTTCATTGATTTGCTTGAGCGGGCCCAGTAACGTCTCCATTGTGAGACTTGTTACTGTGTTTGGCATATCCAATATGTCATGGGTACCTTGCCAGGCCCTGCCGTGCGGGCAAGATACTCTTTGTAGCTTGCCGGGCTCTCCGAGAGGGGCGGAGGAATCGAACTTGGGTCGGCGATGTTGGCCGCTTGTAAGGCAAAGGCCCTACAGCTGTGCTATCGCTCCAGCCCTAGTATCCCTAGTTGGTTTTTTCCCCCCAGTTTCACCACTTGGTAATGTTATTTGGGACACACCATTTAATTCTGTGACTTTTAATTATCCCATAGAAATGGGAAGACATTCTACTCTTTCAGGAGTTTATAGAGACAGTACAGAAAGTTAATACCTGGTATCACAAGGGTTTGTTCTTTGAATTACCTTTTTACAATTCTGTAAATTTGGCTAATTACTCCCTTCTGCTTTTAGTTCTTTATTATTATGATAGTATCTAATTTATATAAATTTTGACAATGAACCATTGCTTTTTTTTTTTATTTGCTTTGTTGACTACTATTGCACCAGCATCTGGGACAAAATTCTAGCAACCAGTAGATATTTTTTTAATATAAAAACTACAAACTTTATTGTGTTTACTTGCCTAATTTGAGACTATTGATGTTTTTATTTACTTTTAAATTTATTATTGTTTTAAATTTTTTATTGAATCACAATGAGATACAATTACAAAGTTGTTCATGATTTGGGTTTCAGTTATGCAGTGTTCCAACACACATCCCTTCATCAGGGTACATTTCCCACCACCAATGTCTCCAGTTTCCCTCACTCCACCTGTTGTCTCTGTATCAGGGACTTTTCTTCTCTCTCTCTCTCTCTCTCTCTCTCTCTCTTTCTCTCTCTCATTTTGGGCATTTACTGAAAGGTTATCATGTAAATTCCTTTACCTTCTTCTGTTGATGTTTTTAAATTAAAAACTTTAACATAACACCTTTAAAGGATATTTTTAATATATAGAAGTTAAACTAGGAAAACAAGGGTCAAATAAAGCGAGTTCAGTGGACTGAGCATGTGTTTTTTGTTCAGGAGACCCAGAGGTGCAGTATATATTGCGCTTTTTTTGAGTTTCTTTATACGTGATAACACCAACTACCATTTTGCATGCAGAATGTTTTGGTGCCATGATACAGCTTTCTTTTTCTAAAAAAAATGCAATAAAATAATTTTTCTTTTAAGATACTTTTCTGTTTACATTAAAACATAGGTAAATAGGTAAATCTTGAATTTTCATCAGAGTTAAACGGATAGATGCTATACACAAGCAACAGTAATTGCAAATAACTGAAAGATAGTAACCTAGTTGTCATCTTCTTTTGTCCCACAGATACTTTTTACTATCGACAAGAAGTCAATATTTTTTTCTATAATGTTATGTGTGCTTATTGTTAGCTCCAAGAGTGATTGTTAAGCAGTTAACTATAAATTGATTTCAGTTTAAGTGAGGGTCTTCCTGAAGGCAAAATGGTCTGCATGAGTAAAACCTTACTAGATTTACTTACTGCCAGTACATATGAAACAATTAAATTTACTTCTTACTAATATTTGTGCTTATTTGGATAAACACAATAAGAGATATTGGTTCTAAAACGTAGTTTTCTGGGCTCTGGGGAGGTGGGGTGGGACAGTGGTTAAAAGCCATATCGGCTTTTACTGTAAACCCTGAACTAAGTCTTCAGACTGGGCTAGCTTTACCTTCCCATGGGGTCCTGTCTTTTAGGTCATTACAGCTTATACCAAGCCTATGCCTTATGATGTCTAGACTGCCCCATATTGATGCCCGAGTTGCTTTGCTGCTTGCCCTGGGTCCATCCAGAGGTCCCTCAGTGGGACCCAGTTTTATGGGGTGGTAGGAAGTACAGCGACTGAAGCCTGAGTCAAGTAATTATGACGGATGCCCAGGAATAAATATATTTCAGAGTAAATTACTCTCAAATATTAAAAGCATAACATTAATGGTCTTTCTATGTTTAAGCAAAGAACATTGCTCTATCATAAAATATGAAAAGGTTATAGGGGAAAGAGAAAAGCAAATAATTCACTACAGATACAAAATCCAGAGTCACTGGAAGGTTTGATTTTATAAGTAACCAAGCCTGTCTTGGAGAATTTAGTACTTAACAGAAGGAGAGGTAATGCACAAAGGAAAGGTTGAAAATAAATTTGGGGGATTAGGAGTTCTTATACTGTACTGTAAACTTAGGAGTAAACTTCTCTGGGAGAAGGAAAAGGAAAAATTCACTGATGAAGCCTGAAGCACTGTACTGTAGGAGCAATAGCACAGTGGTAGGGCGTTTGCCTTGCACGCAGCCAACATGGCCGGCCCGAGTTCGATTCCTCCGCCCCTCTCAGAGAGCCCGACAGGCTACCGAGAGTGTCTCGCCCGCACGGCAGAGCCTGGCAAGCTCCCCGTGACGTATTCGGTATGCCAAACACAGTAACAACAAAGTCTCCAATGGAGACGTTACTGGGCCCTCTCGAGCAAACCGATGATCAACGGGAGGGCCTTTTGCTTGAGCAGGCACCAGTAATGTCTCCATTGTGAGACTTGTTACTGTTTTTGGCATATCGAATATGTCATGGGGAGCTAGCCAGGCTCTGCCATGCGGGCAGCATACTCTGGGTAGCTTGCTAAGCTCTCTGAGAGGGGCGGAGAACCTGCTTCAGCTCTTAGGGTTAATCTCCAGCAGGCAGGGCACAACACACCATTGTTACCCTTAGACTATGCTAAGGGCTTATTTCTGGCCTAGCTCTGTGCTCAGAGATCATTCCAGGCAGGAAATGAGGGAGCCATATGCACTGGCTCACACCGGTATTGGCTACATGCAAAACCTTAACTACTGCACTTTCTCTTCACCCTCTGATACCCACTTTTTTTTTGAGGGGGTCGGGGTGCAGGTCATACCAAGCAGTGCTTAGCACTTACTTCTGGCTTGCACTCAGGAATCATTTCTGATGGGCTGGGGAGACCATAATCTAGTTAATTACTAGATTCTTGAAATATTTTTAAAACACCTTATTACAAATACAAAGGAAAAAAAATACAGCAACAGAGACTAAAAGTACTTGATCCTTGTAATTTAAAAATATATATGAATGAAAATAAAATAATTTTTTTCTACTAACTGAGTCAAAATATATTTGCTGGAGGGTTTAAAAACTTGATATAGTTTTAGCTGAGTCCAAACTCCTGTGTCCTTAAAATACATTCTAAATAGTTATTTATTTTTACAGACCATGTAGACATGGGAAGCATTTCAAAGGTCTATGAGTCTTTTCAAGGAAATATATAGTACTCCTTATGGTTTAAAATAAAGAATATTTATTATCTAAGTTGTTTGAGAATATTTTTCATGAAATATTTTGGTTTGCTTTTGCTTATAAACAGTTGTTGGTCTCTCATCCTTACATGTTTGAATCAACCTAGGTTTAAAAGAATTTTATATATGGAAATGAACATAAAAAGGTTGACCATATGTTCTTCTAAATATGTGGGTACAGGAAGAATTTCTTGTCATCACATAGAATGGTGTTTTCTATTTAAGAAATTACATTCATTAGAATCTGAAAATACATTTACAGAAAATACCTTTAACACTGACTTGTTATGAAAATTTTGTCAAATTGTAACAGTTCTCTCAAGATTTATATTTAAAAAAATGAGATTCACATTCCTCTCAGCCCCTCAACAATTTCTCCAGTTTTTTTGAACCATTAATGAATACAACAGTCTCTAGGGAATTAATTTGTTTCTAGAGACTTGATAACACAATTGACAGGTTTTGTTAGTGTTTACAGTTGTGTATTCTTTCTTTTAAGTGTGACATTAAATGTTTTAGTGAAAACTGCGATTAATATTTTGGAAGATCTTATATACTGTGTTAGAAGTGCATCCTTGAACCTTGAATTAACTGCACAGTATACTAGCATCTTCTGTCTTCTAAAAGATTTTTTTTTTTTGCTAAAATATTCCTCTACTCTTTGACCTTATCTTAGTACATTGTTATTTAGGCAGTAGTAGAAAACAACCCTTTTTTCCATGAAGGTGCTTCTTGCACAACTGAAATAAAGTAAGAAATCTCATATTTGGTGAAGTGGTAGCAGTTCCTGTTAGTGCAAAGGAGCAAAGAACTTTTTGATTACATTTTAGTTTCTGGAAAGTTAGGCTCTTCACTTTTCTCATATACTTCTCAGACCTACTGAAAGATGTGTCAAATGTCAAAAGTCCCAGGAAAATACTTTTCATAGACTTGAGAAAAAGGTTGAAGATGTGTCCTTAATTGACCATCATAGAAAGAAATTATTGATATTTATCCTGTTGGCATTATCTGATGTGAGTGGTCCAAGAGACATTGAAGCCCAGCATTGAAAGAAGTCCACTTTCTTAATAAGCCTTTAATTATTAAAGTGGAGAATATTACTTCTACTGTGCAATATTATTATGATAATACTTTCCATTCCTTCTTGCTATAACAATTCTGTTAGAATTAATTTCTAAATTAAAGCAGAAGCAGCAAAAGTAATAGATCATGTATTTGTTATTTACTTATATTAGAATTGATGAGTAAAATACTCTATCACATATTTATAAAAAAGTTTAAGTTAAAATTTGCTAATTTAAGGAGTATTTAACCCTTTCTCTTTTCTCAGCCCTGAGAGCATGGGACTTCTTGACCCAGCAACCAGTGATGGGCGAGTTATTTTCTTCTTACCCTGGGAAAAGATGACTATAGCTGGAACTACTGACTCTCCCACAGATATTACATCCCATCCTATTCCTTCAGAAGAAGATATCAACTTCATTTTAAATGAAGTACGAAACTACCTGAGTTGTGATGTAGAAGGTAATGTATGCATTCTTTTTTTTTAATGTAGGAGTACTACTATTTATTCAGCCATGATTAGATGATTGAATTGTTGTATGCATTCTTTTAAGCTGCCTTTCTTGTCCTCTTTCTAAACTTTTCCTTTACTCACTGCGTGACTGCTGTGTCTCCGCATGAATCATCTCTATACCTTATCTGCTCTAACTTTTCTGTACTAACTACTTAGAGATTTAGGAGGACTAAATTATAACATGATGGGAAGAAGTGAGCTTTTTATTGTTTAATTTGTACTTTTTTCTTTCTTTAAAAAAATTTGATTTATAATCAGTTTAAATGTAATTTCTGTTTAGCCTCACACCTTTATATGGATGGGTATATGCCTCACCACACTTACCATCAAAGTTTTAGTACCATCCCAGCACCCAAAGACTCTCTTTTAATTTCTCCCATCCCCCTCTTTTTTCCTTCTTTTCTCTGAGTCTAAAAGTTAGTTTTGTTGTGTTTCACCAGTTTGTGTGCTTTATTCATATTCAACACATGAGTAATACCAGCCTCTAATTGTCTTTTACATCTTCACTTATTTCACTTAGTAAAATCACTTTAAGATCTACCCACTTTTTGCCCCCTGTAAGTCATTATTTTTATTTTTTTTAATGATAAAGTTCCACTGGGTATCTATACTGCAACTACTTTATCTGGTTATCTATTGATTGACATTTAGGTTGATTCCATGTTTTGGCTATTATGAACAATGTCCATGGTTCTTTTTTGATAATGAATTCAAGGCTAGAAAACCATGTTTGAGATGTCATACTAATATCTTCACAGTCCAAAATGAGTCATTGGGAGTACCTGATTCATATATATGTATGTATATCCATATATATTATAACTGTAGGAAATAGGGAAATGAGAAGGAAGAGATATATATTTAAATAAGTGTGAGTTGTTAACTACCCGAAGAGTACTGATGATAGATTTGACTAAGAAAAAGAAGTGCTGTTTCTTTAATTGAAACAAAGTTTACCTTTCCTATATTTATTGGGACTTTCTTTTAATCTAAACAAAACAACATTTTATCTAGTGAACATATAATTTCTAAAATAATTTTTAAACTAGTGTGAGATGTTTTCTTCAATATTATCCTTCTGTGTTGTTCCTTACGAGACCCACCATATCTGTTCATCAAGTCTCACAAGATAGAAAAGCATGTGCATGTTTATCTTATCTTTTATTGATCTTTCTTTCCTTCACTGGTCTGATTTTCTTTCCTCAGCCTTCCCTCCCTTTCCCTCCTCCCCTCCCTTCTTTCATTCTTTCTTTCTTGTTTTTGTTTTGAGCTGTTCTCAGGGCTTAGTCCTAGCTCAGGGATTATTCTTGCTCTCCTGCAGGGCTCAAAGGACCCTATAGGTGCTGGTCATCGGCTTAGAAGGCAAGCACCCTACCTACTGGAGTATTGCTCTGGCCTCCAAACTCCAATTTCAATCTATGGGCATTCTGGAATGTCATTTAAGTGCAATGCCTCCAGTATTGTTTTGGTTAAGATCTCTGTTTAGAGCAAGCTTTTTTTTTTTTTTTTTTTTTGCTTTTTGGGTCACACCTGGCGATGCACAGGGGTTACTCCTGGCTCTGCACTCAGGAGTTACTCCTGGTGGTGCTCAGGGGACCATATGGGATGCTGGGAATCGAACCCGGGTCAGCTGCGTGCAAGGCAAATGCCCTACCTGCTGTACTATCTCTCCAGCCCATAGAGCAAGCTTTTTGACGGACTAACCAACTTCATTAGATTAGGTCTCCCTTCCTACCCAGTCTTATCCTTCTATTAGAACTTTTTTTTTTTTTTTTTTTTTTTTTTGCTTTTTGGGTCACACCCAACAATGCGCAGAGGTTACTCCTGGCTGATATACTCAAGAATTACACCTGGCGATGCTCAGGGGACCATATGATATGCTGGGAATCGAACCCAGGTCCGTCATTTGCAAGGCAAACGCCCTACCGGCAGTGCTATTGCTCCAGCCTCCAGAACTCTTCTTTCTAAAACACTATTTTGATGATCACTTGCCTGCATAAAAATAAAAATCTCTTGGATATCTTTTTCATTGAACAGGAAAATTCTGAACAATCTACAATGGGATATAATTCCTTTCACAATGGGTTAATCATTAAGCTTCTACAGTCCTGTGTATTCAATGGTCTAATTTATGTATTAATTTTCAAATCAAGTCATACACTCATTTATTTAGTTTTCAATGAGAGGTAGTGAATTCAGTGTGTCATACATGCAAAGGCAAGTGCTATGGCATTGAAGTACATCCCTGGACCAATGCCATGCACTCTTTTTTTTTTTATTTAAATCTTATTGAATCACCATAAGAAATTTACAAGCTTTCATGTTTGGGTTACAATCACACAATGATCAAACACCCATCCCTCCACTAGTGCACATTCCCCACAACCAATCTCCCCAGTATACCCCTTCCCCATCCTCCCCCCTGCCTCCATGGCAGACAATATTCCCCATACTCTTTCTCTACTTTTGGGCATTATGGTTTGCAATACAGACACTGAAAGGTCATCATGTTTGGTCCATTTCGGCACTCATCTGATTCCCATCCCAACTGATTCCTCTAGCCTTAAACCTTTATGACTTGTTTAAGTTGAAGCCTTGTCTGGGAATCCATTTCTTCTAAACTTCTCATCTTGGAAAAAATACCATTTACACTTCATAAACCATCTTTCCTCTGTACTTCTATAGAATATTATTATAATATATGTACATATATATTATAATCATATTGTACTATAGTATGCTATTATATATATTACACTAAGATGTAGTCTTATTTGGAATTCCTTAAGGGTAATGTGTCTTTGTTACAAAGCTGTTAACTATCTAGTATGTCACTTGTGATTATTTTTAACAGAGCTGAATTAGTAATATATACAACTTTCAGGAGTTTTTTGACTGATATCTGTATCAAAGTAGAAAGTTAAAAAGTTTTACATGTTTGTGTCAGTAATCTTTTATAATGTTGGCTTCAGGAGAAGATCATGGCAGTTTTTTGTCTTAATACTACCCACTGCTATCTATAACTATTCTAAAAGGATTTTCTCCCACAATATGTGACCATATATTTATAAGCAAACAAAACTAGTAACTTTTCTAAAATTTTGGTGATTCTCCTCGGTGCATTGCTTAATTCATAGTATGTTAGTTTTAAATTCTACTTTCAAGTAATGAATATAATTTCATAAGTAGAATTTTTAGACATTTACAGTAATAGAATAAATGTATTATACATGTAATTGAAATCTGTCTGCCTAATATTCTCACTGACATGCACACAAACTCAAACATTGTTATTTAGGAAATAGCCACAATAGTCCAAAAGCTACATTTAAATATTCAAGAGTAAATTATAATTTTAGCTTAATATAATACTTTCTTCTCCTTTTGCAATTCAGGGGAATCTTGAGCTGGTCATGGTGTGTGTGTGTGTGTGTGTGTGTGTGTGTTGTTCTAGGGGACCACACCTGGTGGTACTCAGGGATCATTGCTGGTTGGTTACAGGGCCCCATATGGGGTGCCTTGTAATCGACTCTAGGCTGGCCTTAGGCAAAAAAAGTGCCCTCCCTACTCTACTATTGCTCCAACCCTTGACTATATTCTGATATGTGATTGTTTTTAATGATTCTTACTCCATTTCATTTACTTAGGTATAATATTCAGTACAAGTGGGCTTATAACTGGCCTCTATGAACAGGAAGTTTAGATTGTTGGAGCAAAGAATAAAATTAATCCAAGAGCTGAGAGCGCTATGTTGACAGTTTCCAAATTCTTAAAGTTCAAATGCAGTGAAGATGAGAAATCTAACTGCTTCTATGTGCTGAGCTTGGGTGTGCGGGAAACCAGTATAGGCTTCAAAAGGCCACTGTGCCCAGATTGTAGGTGGGATTTCCACCAGGAAAATAAGCTTTGGGCTATAACAAGAACCAGATCTGGAGCCCCTTGTTTTTATTCTACATTTCAGTAGATAGGAGGTTTTGGTTAGACCTTGTAGGACAACAAAGGTCTTTTCAGTTAATATGACTTGGGGTATTTAGGGGACTGGTGAAATTAACTGGGAGTTGTTTTTTTTTATTATTTATCAATTCTCATATTTGGTAATAGCAGTTGTTGTTATCTAGACATTGTATTGGGCTTTGCTTACGATGGGCTGGAGTTATCTTGAGATTGATTTCTCCAGACAACAAATATCTGGGTGTAAACCATCTGGCTGTATGTGCTGTTGCTACACATATAATTGATTTGTTTATAATAGGTAATACATACTTGCTTGCTTAAATTTATTGAGGGGAGGGGGAAGTGAGAGGAAGCATGTAAGCATGTGTGTGTGTACAATCCTGGTTCTAATTTAGGGACTTCCATATGCAAGGCAAAAGGCTTCTGCTGAATCACACCCCTGGCAACACACTTCATTTTTAAAAAGCACCATTACTTATTTTTTTACTAACAATGATACAACTATTGCTTATATTATCTCTGATTACCCATAACAACATGAAGTGTATTTTCCCACTAAATAGGAGAAATTGAAGCCCAAATGACTCTTAAGTTTTATGCATGTGGCTCATTTGTGCTAGAACCAAGATGGGTGTGAGGTCAATCTAAGCTTCAATACTTGTGCTTTTGAGTATAGCATAGCACTCCTGGTGGATAGGTCTGGATTTTATGGTTTGGTGTTATAATCCACTAGGGAGCGGATTATGTCTCTCAGTTCATTTCATGGAAGCTGCTACACACCTTCAGAATAATAGTAACCTTTGCTCTAGACTTGCCTTGTTTGGATTTGGATGTTAAATCAGAGGTTTCTTATCTTATAACTGATCCCGTGGGCCAACTCGTCTTCTCTGTAGATCTAAAATATAAAAAGGTTGGTATAAATCCTAGAGCAATAGTTTCAAAATGTTTTGTATTAATCAAAGTTGAACTCATCATTTTAAAAGGATTTATTAAA